GCCACATCATGGAAGGCTTTGTAATAAGTGGCATTCTGCTGTAGCAGAAGCGATTTCTGAAGGGAATAGTATATATGATAGATATGTTGATAAACCGGGCATACTTCTTGATGTTCATGATGTGGGGGAAATATATGAAACAAGCCTAGAGAAACATATGCACATTTCAGAAACGAAACCTGTTTGGTTATCGCCTTCAACTGATCCTTTTTCATGCACTTTGGGTTTTAATCTTACTCAGTTTTCCCTGCAAAGAGGGCAACATTTTGCTGTTTTTATTTGCCATAAAAAGTCAGTCTTAATTGTAAGTGATGGCACTGGTAAAGTCTTGGTTATAGATACCCATTTCCATGCTGATACAAACAGTGGAACATATTTTATTTATGGGAAAGCAGATGAGGTTGCATTGTATTTCACCAAAAATTACCCAGGGAAAACAGTTGGTACTCTAACAGAAGTTTCATTTGTAGTTCTTGTAGACTGAAATTACTTGTGCATGCACCATTGATATAGTTTTCACAGGTTATTGGGCTTAAAATAGAAAAACAGCTGTCTGGCATTTTCCCTTGTCTTTTTGTTTATGGTGAAAAAAATAAAAAAAAATCACCCACCAGTTATATTTTGAAACACTGCCGAAGAATGAATCCATATTTATGGCAAGGAGAAAAGAAAAAAAATCAAAGATCAGTTTAATTTGATGCTTCAGGGTTACTTTACTTGTCATAGCTCTGAAATTTTTTCTGCATTTTGGCTTAGTCATTGGCAGCCTACTATTTTGAGCCCAGCTGTTTGTTGTTTAAGTTGAATATTAACCCTACGTACATTAATGTACCACTGATCGATGGTGGTCCAGGAAAAGTACACTTTCAAATTGACATTGACATAAACTTGAAGTTGATTCATTTTTAAGAGTAAGCTGCATTGCAGACCAGAAATCTTAACTGGCAGGTACGTTTGAGTATTTGCCTATAATGTTGTGTTAAAACACATTGCAATAATATTGCACATATTAATTAGCCTTATATATCATTCATTTTTGTGCATGCACTTGTACCAAAGTATAGTGATATGTAAGGAATGCATTGAGTTGATTTCTACATCTTGACAAAGTTGAATTATAGCTGGCTTTAGTAATACACACCATGTTCAGCCAGCTCCAGATCTTTCAACATCTATCTTTGGATAACTGCTTTGTGTGGTATGGAGTCAGTTGGCAGGTCATTGATCCTTAAGCATGGCAGATTTCTCAAATGTTTCTGATAGCAAATTTAGGACTTGTAGCACTTCTACTCGTCTGTTGGTGTCTTTGTTTTTTTTATGCCTTTTTTGGGTCTTGAAATGCACCCTCATGGCAGCTGTCATGAACAAAAACAGTTAACATTTTGCAAGTGAATAACCAGCCACTAATAAATATTTAATTTTCTGACAAATTGGGAAAAACAAGTGGTGATCACTGCTTTGCACCATTTTGTTTTTACTCAGAGGTAAAATGCAAAGGCTTTTCACCTCCAAGTTAGCCACTCATGTATACAAAGTATTCTTCATATGTGTGATACATACTAGGGAAGGATATTCATGGCTAGTGAGCAGGTGTCCTACTCTCTTTCCAACAAAGAAAAAGAGATTTCTGCTAGCAGGCTAGATATTCAACATTAAGGAAAACAAGGAAAGAATGTGGCACTTTTACAATCAAATATGTCTAATTATATGTAAATTGTTAACATCACCTGAAAGATAAAAAAAGAAAGAAAGAAAAGAAGGAAGGGAGTACATTAAAAAACAGAATTGAACAATTAATCTTAACTGTAGCTTTCCTTTTATATCCTTTGATGCAGAGTTTATTGCAGATACATTTGAACTACTGAACCCAACTTTGGTCACTTTTGCAGAAAACACTTACCTCTTATGACATTTGATGGTGTGGAAGTGTCAGTACTTCTGACTCCATTTATTATTGCTGCATTAACAGCTCTGTTATCTTCATGAGAAAAGCTAAATACAAATCAAAGCTGAATTAGAACTGTGTTGTCATCTTAATTCTCTTTTAAACCCTCTGAGTGGTACATGCCTGTGAGAGTCCACAATATTTGACAAGGAAAGTCAACATTGAACCCTTTTTTATGTGACTACGTCCCTTACATTTTTAAGTAGTCCAGTATTTATGTCAAACTAACTCTACTAAGACTGTTTGTTGTAAAACATACAATGTCTTTATAACCACAATCAAAACATCATTTTAGTCTCTCAATTGACATTAGCTTCCCATTCTGAAAAAAATGAAAAGAAATTAAAACTGACCTTTTGGATAGATCCCATTTAACATCTGTACCATCTTCACTAGTCAGAGTGGAATAGACATCCCTGATGTGGGCCTTGAAAAAATAGTTAGCAAGTTAAAAAATTTCAGACACTTTGCTGAATATAGCTTAAGTAAATTTATGCCTTTAAAACACAAATAAGTCTAAAACAAGATCTGTAAAAATGATAGTACATCTGCAAAATGGAATTAACCCGAATTATGTTTTTCAGAAAAAAAAATTCCTTTCCAGTGACAAAAGAATTAGTAAAGCCTAGTCCGAGCTCTTTCTCAATCAAGTTTATCAGCCTTGAATACATACAATGGCCTCACCCAAGAAAGTACATACTATAGGTTTTACACTGTACTGTCAATATTTTGAACCCCTAAAAATTTTGGTGGTTTTATTGTCCGACACTGTCTTTGTCCAAAATCAAGCACTGTAACTCAGAAATGGCCTCTTGAAGCCTTCTAGATCAAAACTAATATAATCATTTGGGGATTTTCAATGAATTACTATTACATATATTAAAAATGATCAAGAGTAATAACATGGTGTTCACATTTGTTTTGAAAGACATCCATCAACAATAAACACTGTGTAGTCTAACTCCAAACAAAGGATAGTAGTTTTGTAGTGAGAATGGACCCTTAGACTTTGATCCGTTTTTCCCTGCGGTGTGGGTACATTTACCCTCTACACGTACATGGGATAGTATACTGGGACTTTGACTTTCATCATCGCTGAGGGAGAAAAAAGCGGGGGAAAAAAGAAAAATTAATTATCCTTAAGCTTAATCTATGAAGAGAGGTGACTTACTGAAAGCGCCTTCGAAAACCGCGTCGCTTGCGCCGTTGGTCTGTTTTCCCGCCCTTGGCCCTGCAAGTGTCCCTCGAGCCGTTCCTCCAATCTTCTGTTAAAATCCCCTTGTCTAGCGAAAAACGCCTGCAACTGCTCCATAACTTGGCTCCCACTATCGTTGGCAGTTTCAACCGGGGTTCTGTAAAGCGGCTCCAGGACCTGAGATACTGTTGGAGTCGACGTTCTTCTTGGCGTCGGTATGACGGCCGGCACCAAAGGGGTGGATACTGTGGATTCCAGAGAAGTAGATTCCAGAGTTTCAATCGATCCTTGTAAACT